GCCTAGGCTGGAGTGCAGTGGTACGATCCTGGCTCACTGTAACTTCCGCCTCCCAGGTTCAAGCAATTTTCCTGCCTCAGTTCCCTGAGTAGCTGGGATTACAGGCACGTGCCATGACACATGGCTAATTTTTTTATTTTTCAGTAAAGACAGGGTTCCACCATGTTGACCAGGCTGGTCTCAAACTCCTGAGGTCAAGTGATCCACCCACCTTGGCCTCCCGAAGTTCTGGGATTATAGACGTGAACTACCGCGGCCAGCCTAGTGAACATTTGTTATGTTAAACCAAATGCTATTCAATAAGTTTTAGCTTCAAGTGGGCTGAGTTTCACATCATTATGAATAATAAATTTAAGGGGTAGACCCTATGCTGCCTTCACAATCATCCCTTCATTCCCTCTTCCTTTAAGATGTTTTCTGCCTAGGAGGTTACTCAGGCCCTTGCACATGTGGTCTCCTGGCAGCAGATCCATCTCTGATGTTTGCAGGTGGTGCAACAAGTGTACAGATGAAGGCCTCCATCCTTCCAACTCATAGTTTGTATCTTTTATGTTCTTAGCTGCTGCTTAGTCCTGCAACTTGACCCCCATGCACACTCATGTGTATGAACATTGTCCCTCCAACCCGGGAGCCTGCGAAGAGTTGCCTTTTGGACTTTCTCAGGTTAGAAGTGCAGTTAACAGCTGTAATGCTATGACTTGAAGAGTAGCCCACACAGGCTGTGGAAGGGGTAGGGTATTCGGGAGAGAAAATTCAGAGTTCAAGGTGCCCAAAGTATGGACTAGAAGGGAGTGCCTTGGTTCCAGGTGGGCATGACTCTTTCACTTCATGGGTCTCCCTCCTCTTAAAACTAAAGCAGGCACCTCAGGCTAGGATACCATTTGCCTGGGTCCAAGGGGAGAACTGTCTGGAAATCTTATTCTACCAGTCTTTCAGCCAGATCCAGCCATGGAGCTGTGTCTTAACACTGAGAGGAAGCAGAGCTATGCCTTAAGCCAGCTCCTAAATCTACATCGTTTTCTTTGCAACTGGACACATTTTATTAATATATGTATCTATATTGCATGTAAATAGGAAAGAGGACCCTGGCTAATCCTTTTGTTAGAGGAAGACAAGAAGTCCATGAGGTTTGGGGAAACCAGGCCAAGGTTTGGGTCCAAAAGGCACCTCCTTCCAACACATGCACACCCGTTTTTCCACATGTGAGTAATTACTAAACTCTCTTTGGCCCTCACCGAGACAACCAGCAGGACTCAGGAGTTTAATGAATTTTTCTCACTTCTATGGAGGAGTAACACCAAGTTTTTATTTATCAGAAACTTAAAATGTTTTTTAATTCTGTGAGAGTAATTTAGAAATTGGCGTGAAGTGTAATTGATTTTTATAAACATGCATATCATAGATTTTTCATTAATAAGCATTTGCATTGTAATTTGTTTGCGCATGAGTGCCCTGGACTTTCCAGATGCTAATGAACAAAGTGCTAGAGTGTGCTTTCCACAAAGCGAAATTCATTATTTCCTTTTTTATTTTTAACTCTTTTCCCAAAATGAGAACAAGAGAAAGCTATTGGAAAGATAATTTCTAGAAAGAAAGGTGAACTCAGCTCTTTTTGATAATTATGTTTTTCCTCTCAATCTTGTTTAGCAAAAGCTGAAGAACTTGTCTGTCACACTCCCAATACTTTCTCTAATTAGTCCTGGCTTCATATATATGTGTATATACACACATATGAAATACTCTTTCATGTATAATATGAAAAGAGTACTCAGAATGATTGTTTGTACTGCATATAATTAAGTAGGGCTGTGTCCTGGTCTATAATCACTAGAGACTCCCTTCTGAGAAAATACTCCTGACTTAACCATACAATTTATTCTACATTGTGGTGCCTTCAGGGATACGCCCTTCTGCAGTACATTAATTTTCTCAGACAGACCAGAAATGATTACCAAGGGAGGAACCTCTTCCCATAAGACCTCTCTTTTCATTTCTTTGATATGTGTGCATCGATCCCTAAGACTCCTACAAGTCCTCATCTGGACTGCTACTTTAATTTGCAGAGCCCAAGTAAAAACACACACAAGAAAACCCCTCAAAGTCCCTTCAAAAAGCAGGAGTGGTGGTGGGGAGAGGGGCAGAAGATTTCCTTTCTTTCTCTTTTGGCCTGTCATGGGGTCTCTTACTTGCTATTTAATTTCATGCTTTCTCTGATACAGGGGTATTCACAGGGTGAGTGCAGATGGTCCCAGGTAGCTCAGGCCTGCCCAGCCACTTGGTGCATGGGATGTGTGCACCCAGCTTCCGCTCCCCCTGCAAGCCCAGGCCACTACCTGCCCAAATGGCTGTAGTCACTTGAAGGGGGTTGGGGAGCAGAGATTGGAGGGGTGGGAGATCATGAGAGTGGATGAGCAAGCTCCTCACCCCTTTGTTCCATTGTCCTTCCGGACTTCGCTTACAAAACTCCAAGAAGAAATCGTTACACATTTTAAGGGGCTCGTGAAAGATGGGCAACTCTCCTATTATAAAAGAACTCTGCAGAAGCTTCCATAACTTCTGTGCCAGGCCAACAATGCTCTGATTTCCTGTCTTTCTGCCCCCAGTGATTATCCGGGGACTACAGATGGGGTCAGCAACATGCCTAGTCACCTGCATTGCCTAATGAACGGCTGACTGCCTCAGCATCCCCTGGGCAGAGGTAAGGAGTCATTGTTTACAGCCTGATATGGTTAGGATTTGTGTCCCCACCCAAATCTCATCTTGAACTGTAATCCCCATGTGTTAAGGGAAGAAAGTGATTGGATTATGGGGGCGGTATCCCCCATGCTGTTCTCATGATAGTGAGTGAGTTCTCACGAGATCTGGTGGTTTTATAAATGATAGTTTCTCCTGCACTCTCACATGCTCTCTGTCACCTACCACCATGTAAGACGGGCTTCTTTCCCCGTCTGCCATGATTGTAAGTTTCCTGAGGCCTTCCCAGTCATGCAGAATTGTGGGTCAATTAAACTTTTTTCCTCTGTAAGTTACCCAGTCTCTGACAGTTCTTTATAGCAGTGTGAAAACAGACTAATACATAGCTTAATTCTGGATTTATCTTGCCCTTCACTCCTCAAGCAGTCCAGGCATGGTGGCTCACGCCTGTAATCCCAGCACTTTGGGATTGATCTCTGGAGTCCAGGAGTTCAAGAACAACCTAGTGAGACTTTGTCTCTACTGAAAACAAAAATTTTAAAAAAATTAATAAAATATGAAGTTCCCACTCCATAGTTCAATGACACATGCACTATTATGTGGTTTTACTTTTCTCACAGAAAAGCTATACATACAGAAAATGCAAAACATCTAGAACAGAAGAAAATAAATCACCAGAATTGCTATCTTACTGTCCAGAAATAATTACTTAGCATTTTAGCATATGTATTTTGGTCTTTTACATATATGGCTACGGTGCTTATGTTATTGAGATATTTTAAATATTGCTTTAAAACATACTTTCATTTGCCCAATAATACACCATGAATATCTTCCATATATTATTATTAATCTAAAACATTTGAAAACTTTTGGCTGCGTACCACTCACCTGGGAGCATGTGGGAAATAAAGATTCTAAAGTCTCTCACTCACAGAGATTCTCATTCATAATCTCATCTGGGGACTCATAAATCTGAAATCTGCCTTTTGAAGAAGCACCCCAGAAGATTCGGATGGAGGTGATTCTCAGAGCTTGCTCTGGCACACACTGATCTACGGTAAGATTTTAAAATGCTGCACTGTGTGCCATTATATAGGTGTGCCATAATTTATGAAACCAGTTTCATATTGTTCATTTGACATTAGTTTCTAAATTTTCACTTGCATGATTAATTCTTCAAGTAAATCTTTCTGAACATCTCCAATTATTTCCTTAGGAAAATTCTGCAAAGTGGAGTTACTGGGTCAAAGAGAATGCAAATCTGAGCAAAGCAGACGGTAGTGTGAATGAAAAAGCAAATCAGTAAGCTGTAAAATACTACACGAATATGATAGAACAGCTGCCTTTTATTGAGGGACTTTTGTATACCCAGCCAGGGGTTCTTAAATTTTCTTGTGAATCAGAATCACCTGGATGGCTTGTTAAAACCAGGTTGCTGCTACCTTCTCTCCGTCCCAGTTTAATTCATTAGGACTGTGATGGGACTGGGAATCTGCAATTCTAACAAGTTTCCAGGTGATGCAGATACTGGTACTAGGCCAGGCCACACTTTGGACAGCAGTAGACATGATCCTAGGTGTCTTATTAAACTTCACAGCAGTCTTTTACAGTTAATGATTGAGACGCAGAGAGGGTCTGAGGTTATGAAGCTAATGATGGCAGAGCTGGGATTTGATTCAAAATTTGATGATTCAAAAGCTGATGGTTTTCCCACCAGGCAACCTGGTTTCTTACTTCATTTTACCGCCCACAAATAAAATATTTTAGATGTCTTCCTAACAAGCACTGAAGGTTTCAGTGTCAGCACCACCCCTCCCCCACTCCAATCTAATAGGGATGCATAAGAGAGGAGAGAGGTTAGGAAGTGTTTGGCTGAGAAATTCCTCAGGGGAAACTGGTTGGATGAGTTACATTCCACCACTCACATCAATATGAAGGGCTGCCTCCCTGCCCTGCTGTGGCCTCAATAACATGTGGACATCAAGAGAATAATTTCTCATCTCTTACTGCAACCACATAATAATCCTTCCTTGGAAGAGAGATCTGTCTTCTCCAAAAACCACCACCAAGTTTCTCTACGCAATGGCCTAAATAACCTGTTTGTTCCGGCAGCTCAGAAAACAAAGCACTCCTATCAAACTGGTTGGTTAATGATACCCAGCAGAGCAAACACCCAGTGCATTGGCAGAACATGAGCCAGATTGGCTTCTAACAGACCCAGCTTAAGACGCCCAGAATCACCAAGTGAATCAGACACATTTCATAACTAAAGACACTTGAAGACCTAATTATGCAAATTTTACCTGTTTGTTACTTTGAGGTCTGGCCATCCTGCTGTCTTTCCATGTGTTGATAGTTGTGTGTGTAGATTATTTGTGTGTCATTTAGTCTCCATTTATTCATCCTGTGAGCTGAGGATTCTGCTAAGCACCCTACAAGGAGAAAAGTAATATTTTCTGTTTAAAACGTGTTTTGTGTGGCTTCTTGGATAGTGTCCCTGGATGTGGGTACCTGAGAACAATCCATCCTTACTGTTCCATTTCCTAATGGAAAATGCACTACTTCCATCCATGTGAAATATAGTCTGGGATGCTTTGTCATGTAAGACAAGGCAGGCTGTGCATTCCAAGAGATATTTTGTTTAGAGATGATAAGGAGCCTTGCACGCTCTTTGGCTTTATTCTTTTCAACAACCCCCTAACTAGATAAGGAAAGGTTTTAGGTCAACAAGACTTGGGAAGTCTGCAGAGGAACTAGCATTCATAATCTGAGTTGCTCCAGCCACCAGAAGTAATGTCAATAATTGACTGTTTTGTGGCTGAAGGACTATAGTAGTTATAATTGTCTGATATAAGAAATATTCAATGACATAAGGCATTTCCTATAATGAAAAGAATTAACATTCCAACTGGATTGTTGTCCTTCAGGAATGCATTCAAGATATTTCTATATTAGGCAAGAAATTTGATTAAGAGCCTCTCTCTCTCATATGAATGGTCTTTTGTTTTTTGTTTTGTTTTGTTTTGTTTTTTTGAGACACTGCTCTGTCACTCAGGCTGGAATACAGTAGCATGATCTCAGCTCACTGCAACCTCTGCTTCCTGGATTCAAGCGATTCTTGTGCCTCAGCCTCCCAAGTAGCTGAGATTACAGGTGCACACCACTAAGTCCAGTTAATTTTTGCATTTTTAGTAGATACTGGGTTTTGCCGTGTTGGCCAGGCTGGTCTCGAACTCCTGACCTCAAGTGATCCACCCACATTGGCCTCTCAAAGTGTTGGGATTACAGGTGTCAGCCAATGTACCTGGCCATGAATGGTCTTAAAGGAGGAGTTAAAGGGGGTGGGTGAGGAACAAGAATCACAAGTCCAAGGGAGTTTCCCGGTAGGATGCGGGAGAGAGGCTTCAGGTGTGTCAGGAATACATAATCTGTAAAACCACAGCATCTTCCTTTTTACAAACAATGCTTTCAGTTTTTGCACTGCATTTAGTATCTTTCACTGCAGAGCTTTTCCCCAAACCCAGCAATTCACAAATTACACATTTGTGGAATTGTTGAAATATTTGTATGTCATCAAACCTTAGTAAACTGGAATCCAATTAGCTGGAATCATTGTAAAAATTCTATTTTTTAAGAAAATATGAGAAAATTACCTAAAACAAACACATATTACTGACTTAGTATAAAAAAAGAACATTTTTTTTCCCCCAGGATATAGTACACTTTTAATAGAAATTCAGCTTAATATATTTTTAGATTATGATCATTGACGGCTGTAACGATTCCGTAAGAATTTCTTTCACCAAAAGAAAATCTCATTGCTATTCTACTAAGAAAATGAGTACTAATAGATTTCAGATATATTCCTAGTAATAAAGATGAAAACAAAAGGAGCTTTCTATTTACCACTGATATAGCCACCAAGTGTAATTAGCCAGTGTACTCTAGTTACCTGTGGTATATGAAAATTCAACCTATCGATCAGTAATCACACCATGAATACCAAGTACTGTTGGCAAAATTAGTATTCTATAGATCAGAAAATATAGCCCTAACATTCCCAGATACTAGTGTTAAGTAATCATTAGTAAATCAAAGCTTTACATTGCACTACATATGTATAAGGAGGTGTAAGCCAAATTTCTTTGGAAATGTCACAATCATATTTCCAGAGTCAAACTTATTTGAATATGGAGGCAATGAGGAGTAATGTGTAATACTTGGGCTCCTATGTCTGGGTTCAGAGTCTCTGGGCTCTTCTGCTTTCACGGCTTCCCAGATGCATGCCTTCAGGCAAATTGTTTCCCTCTGTTCTCTGCAAAATGGGCAGGGCAAGCATCAAGGTTGTAGAGGCGTGAAGATTTAGGGAGATAACGTGAATGAGATGCTTTTCACAAAGCCTAGCACTGAGGAAGCACCAAATTAAGTCTTAGCTATGATCATTAAATTTCCATTTGATTATTCATGCTGTGAATGTATAGATCTGTGTATTTTTTAATTTTAAGGGAAACCGACCATTTGTAGTAAATGTCTGCATAGTAACATGTAGTTTAGCAATAAATACTTAAGAATCAGGCTAACAAAATATTTGGTATTAACGCAAGGTTTTATATAGCTGTTTATTTACTTATATATTTATGAGGCAGGATCTTGCTCTGTCACTCTGGCTGGAGTAGCTGGGACTAAAAGCAAGTGTCACTACATCCGGCTTATTTATTTATTTATTTTTTATTATTATACTTTAAGTTCTAGGGTACATGTGCACAACAAGCAGGTTTGTTACATATGTATACTTGTACCATGTTGGTGTACTGCACCCATCAACTAGTCAGCACCCATCAGCTTGTCATTTATATCAGGTATAACTCCCAATGCAATCCCTCCCTGCTCCCCCCTCCCCATAATAGGCCCCGGTGTGTGATGCTCCCCTTCCCGAGTCCAAGTGATCTCATTGCTCAGTTCCCACCTATGAGTGAGAACATGCGGTGTTTGGTTTTCTGTTCTTGTGATAGTTTGCTGAGAAGGATGGTTTCCAGCTGCATCCATGTCCTGTAGGTCTGTGGGAGATTGCTTGAGGTCCACTCCAGACCCTGTTTGCCTGGGTATCAGCAGCAGAGGCTGCAGAAGATAGAATATTGCTGAACAGCGAGTGTACCTGTCTGATTCTTGCTTTGGAAGCTTCATCTCAGGGGTGTATCCCACCGTGTGAGGTGTGGGGTGTCAGTCTGCACCTAGTGGGGGATGTCTCCCAGTTAGGCTACTCAGGGGTCAGGGACCCACTTGAGCAGGCAGTCTGTCCGTTCTCAGATCTCAACCTCCGTGTTGGGAGATCCACTGCTCTCTTCAAAGCTGTCAGACAGGGTCGTTTGCATCTGCAGAGGTTTCTGCTGCTTTTTGTTTAGCTGTGCCCTGTCCCCAGCAGTGGAGTCTACAGAGACAGGCAGGCCTCCTTGAGCTGCTGTGGTCTCCACCCAGTTCGAGCTTCCCAGCGGCTTTGTTTACCTACTTAAGCCTCAGCAAAGGTGGGCACCCCTCCCCCAGCCTCGCTGCTGCCTTGCAGTTAGATCGCAGACTGCTGTGCTAGCAATGAGGGAGGCTCCGTGGGCGTGGGACCCTCCTGGCCAGGTGTGGGGTATAATCTCCTGGTGTGCCATTTGCTAAGACCCTTGGGAAAGTGCAGTATTGGGGTGGGAGTTACCCGATTTTCCAGGTGTTGTGTGTCTCAGTTCCCCTGGCTAGGAAAAGGGATTCCCTTCCCCCTTGCGCTTCTCAGGTGAGGCGATGCCTTGCCCTGCTTCAGCTCTCGCTGGTCGGGCTGCAGCAGCTGACCAGCACTGATTGTCCGGCACTCCCTAGTGAGATGAACCTGGTACCTCAGTTGAAAATGCAGAAATCACCTGTCTTCTGTGTTGCTCACGCTGGGAGCTGGAGACTGGAGCTGTTCCTATTCAGCCATCTTGCTCTGCCCTCTCCCCATCTGGCTAATTTTAAATACAATTTTGTTTTGTTTTGTTTTTTTTAGAGACATGGTCTCACTATGTTGCCCAGGCTGGTCTCAAACTCATGGTCTCAAGTAATCCTTCTGTCTTGGGCTTCCAAAGTCCTGGGATTATAGACTTGAGCTACCAAACACAGCCAGCTTTATAATTTTTAAAACAAAGTATATAAAGACCTAAACTAATTTTTTCATAAGGCTCAACAATCTTTCAAACATACAGAGTTGATTAAAAACACTCATTTTAAATAAGAATAAAAAGTTATCTATCTATATGCAAGGTAGAAAACTGAAACCATACGAACAGATACTAAGTGAGTAGCAAAGGTCTTCCTTAACCTTTATAAAACTTCCCCTCCTCCCACAAGAATTTGTATATCTTTCTAGAATTTTTTAATGTATCTACAAGCATAAAAATATGCGTATATTTATTTACAAATGGAATCACTATATCCACTATTTTTCATCTGGATATTTTTAACTTGAAACTATATCTTAAAGATACTCCTATACTTTAAAAAGATGCATGATATTCTATTATATAGATATTTCATAATTCATGAAACTTGATAAAAATTCCTGAATGATGATGTTAGAGTTCCAGTTTTTTTCTTCTTACAAAGAAAACTGGAAAATGTACCTTTGTACCTATATGCGTGTTTTTATAGGTAAATAAGGATAAATTCCCAGCAGTGAAGATATAGTAGAACACGTTAATGACACTTAAAAAACAAAGTTAAAATACACCTTTAATGAGATTACTCAGGGCAGATTGTTAAGTTTGTGGATCACCCAGGTCCTCTCCTTTCCTGCTTACTAGACATCCTATCTCACTAGAGATTAACTTGGGGCATATAGTTTTGAAGCCAAGAGTTTAGGACATTGGACCCCCACTATTTACTAGCAAGACCAGATAGTTACATTCTCTAGTCTAGTCCTGCCTGTTGTGGTTATTGTGAGAATCGAATGAGATGTTGAAAATCAGCATTGAACACAGCATTATTTAGCACTGGTGTTTTAGTCCATTCTGCTATAACAAAATACCAAAACTGGGTGGCTTGTAGACAATAGAGATTTATTCCTCACAGTTCTGGAGACTGAGAAGTTCAAGATCAAGGCAATGGCAGATTCAGTGTCTGATGAGGGCTCACTTCCTCACAGACAGCACCTTCTTACTGGCAGGAGGGGCCAGGGGTTTCTCTAGGCCTTTTTTGCAGGAGCACTAGTCCCATTCCTGTGGGCTCTGCCCTCACGTCCTAATCACCTCCCAAATGCCCTGTTGCCTAATCACCTCGGGGGTTAGGATTTCAATATATAAATTCTGGAGGGACAAAAACCTTCAGTTCATTACAACTGCTAACCCCTCAGTACATGTAGCAATAAATAGTTAATAATTTCTTATTAATACTTTCTAATTAATCTAGTGATGATTATTCT